AGTCCAAACTGCAGCCGCTTTTGCCTGCTTCATCCAGTCAGTTTGTATTCAGCTGTGGCCCTGCTCAGTTCACTGACACCCTCGGGCAGCTGCCTGGCCTCCCGTTAGAGCCTCATGAATAGACACTGGTGCGGGTGGGTGCTGACTGAGCTCCTGGTACAGTACACCGTCCCAGTCCCCTGGCCTCAACATGCGGCAGAGGGGCAGCTGCATTAGCCCATCCTGTAACTGGGGAAACCGAGGCACAGAGCGGGGCAGCGCATGTCCAAGGTCACCCGGCAGAAGTGCAGCGGATTGGCAGCACTGTGCCCCACCCACTAGGCCGCTGGGGCTGGTGCAGTGCTCTGGGATCGCCGATATCAGGGCTGGCCCCTGCCACCAGCCACGTTGCTTTCCGGCTAGCCAGAGGCCCTCTTTGGCTCCAGCGGGGGCAGGGGCCAGTTCTGGCTTTTGAACCCCTCCTCCCCCCCCCCCCCGATGTTTTCAGAATTGGGTTTGGCTTCAGCCCGTTCTGAAGACAAGAGGCCATTTGCAAAAGGTGGAACTGGATTTGGGGTTCAGTCCCCCCCCAAACTTGGGTTTGGATTTGGGCCACTGGGAAAGTCACCCCTAGAGTTTGGGGCGAGGGGCTGGTCTGGGTTTGGCTCCAGGCTCCTCCCTGCTTAGCGAGGGTGACCACAGCTAAAGCTGGGTTCCCCAGAACGCCCCTCTTCCCAGCCGGGTTAGGGCAGCTCCCTTCCCGCAGGGCTCCTAGGAGCCCGGCCTCCTTGGTCAGCGTCTCCTGCTGGCAGGGATCAGCCGGTGCGAAGAGGCGGGCGAGCTCACCGGGCTGCCCATCCCGACAGCGCAGCTCAATCCCATGGGGGTGCTGAGCGCCCTGCCAGTGCCCAGCCCCCTGCAGGATCAGGCTCCACGGGCAGCTCCCTTCTGCAGTCCCTGGTGCATCTGGGGACTCCAGCTCTGTCCGGACACTGCAGGAGCCCGGCAGAACTAGCCAAGGACGGAGGCTTCTCCTTCCGTGCTGGGGCAGAGGGGCTCTGGCAACGCCCTGCAATGAAGACAGGAGCCAGGTCTCCTGGGCCGAGAGGCGCCAGAAGCCAAATGGAAGAGCTCCCCACATACTTCTGCCCGCCCCCCCATCCCCGCCCCTGCCACCCAGGAGCAGCCCAGCCCAGCAGGATGGACACACCGGATCTTAAACCATTTCAGAGCAGCAATAGCCAGACGGATCCCCCGCCCTGCCCTGCTGCACCGGATAGTCACCCACCTGCTGTAGGGGAGCATCTCTGGGGAGTCCCATGGGGGGGCAGGGGGTCCGGTGCCTCCAGGATCACGGCCCTGCGGCCCTCAGTCCGCAGCTGCAGGACTCGGCAGGCCTGAGGTTCTGGACCATCTGTCGGCTAAAGCCGGGCTTTACCGGGATTTGCAGACAACAATAGCTGATGGCTGGGCAGAGGCCCAGGAGCTGACAGTGGAAACGCCAGCCCGGGTGCTGTAGGGAAGGGCAGACAATGGGGCAGAGGGGTGCTGACAATGAGGCCACGGGAATGTTGCTGATCAAAGGAAGGACTTTAGCATCGACAACAACCCCCTTCCACCTCCCCCCCGGGGCTGGAACAAACAAATCATCAGGATAAAAAGGGATGCAGGAAAGTTCTGCACCAGGACAGGAAGAGCCAGAGCCCGGCGCATCCTCTTTCACCCTGAGCCCCCAAGGGAAGGGAAGAGCAGGAGAAGTTGGACAGGACGCCCCAGCCTAGATCACCCAAGGAAAATGTAATGTGTGTCATGAAGTGGCTAGCATGTAGGTGGCACCATTGTCCTCTACTGGACAGAATCAGGGCTGCTTAACTCTCGGTGTGTGTCATACACCCTATACTGCTGGCAGCAATTAGGGATTCTCCTTGAGCTCAAACCGGTGGGGGCCTGGTGCTGTCACAAGAGAAGGAGACACATTCGGGCCCCACTGTGACACACAGCATAGTGAGCCCATGGACTTGTCACCACGCTTAGCATCTTTCTAGCGCCCTCCAGCCACGGAGCTCAAGTCATGGTCACGCTATAGATCATACCAGTGAAGCCTCGCAACCCCTGTCATGGCCATCCTCATGAAGCAACAGATCGGGGTTAACTTCACCAAAGTCTGACATGCAGCCACCTCTGGGGTGGGGTGCAGCGGCTGTTGAAAAGCCCAGCACAGGTGAGGGAGCAGCGAGCGATGTGGTGGGGAACGCTTCCCTTACCCTACCCGTAGCCTGCTGCTCAGCCGAGACAAACACCCCCAGGGTCCAAGCCAGCAAGCCCCACCCTGCCAAGAAAGCTCCCCACGGAGCATGCAAAGAGCGTGCGGGATCTATGCAGATGCTTATCCTGCTATGCCCCTAGCTCCCAGTTTATTCTGCTCCCCATTTCACAAGAGCCAGACTGTCCCACCCCCCTTCATTTTTAACCAGAGACCGTGCACAAGCGGCTGGAAATACCAGCATCGCTCCAGCAGAACTGCCGTCAGCACTAATGGGGCGTGGGGCGGCTGTCGCTGCCAGCAGCTGCATTCTCCAGCGATAATGGCTTCCCAGCTGGTCAGCGTGGTTCCCCTTCTCGTGTGCCTAGATCGTTATCTGCACAGAAAGGAGATTAAGCTCTGTATTATCCTTCCCCTCCTGATGCCCACTTCCTTGGCTACCTAGAGCTCTCCCTTGTTGGAGGCTTTGGCACAGTCACAGGGCTAGCTCAGGCTGGGGAGTGGCCTCTCATGAAGGCCCAATGCTTCATGCGAGGCCAGACATGGCCCTTAGCAGGAGACCATCATGCAGAGACCCTGCAGGAGACAGAGGAGGGGAACTAACAGGCCATTTCCATCTCAATGATCTGAGGAGGGGACGTTAGCTTGGGAAAGGGTCCGATCCATGGCATGAAGCTCCCACCCCCATGGGGTTTGAACCCAGGCGCTTCAGCATGCGCCTCTGCCAGCTGAGCTACAAGAGTTACCCCCTTAGCTGGTAGCAGTAGTAGGTCATTATCCTCTTTGTGGCTCAAGATGGGGTGATGTGTGTAATGGCCTGCACCAAAATCCTGATCCAAAGGAGGGGGCATGGTTTGAAATCCATCTATTTCCATACACATCCCTCTATCTATCCATCCCCACACACGCCCCATCTATCCATCCATCCATCTCCATACACACCCATCCATCCCCATACACACCCCTCTATCCATCCATCCATCCCCATACATGCCCCATCTATCCATCCATCCATCCAGCCCCATACATTACCCATCGATCCATCCCCATACATGCCCCATCTATCCATCCATCCATTCATCTCCATACACATCCATCCTGTTCGGAGTGTTAATATTCAGGCCTGTATATTTGCTGGAGAGAGAATTTTCGGTCTTCTTTGCCCATTTGACTTTTGATAGTTTTCTATTCTTACTAATATGTGTGAACAAAGACACTGAGTGTTACACCTGCCCGCAAGCAGATGGGGTGAAAATAGATGATAGAGCTAAAGTGTTGCTGGGCAGAGTGGGAGTGTAAGTATACCAGCGTACACTTGAAGGACAGTCCTGCCTCAAATGCCACTCCCGAGAGGTCAAGCAACCAGTTGGGAGGAACAAGGGCGGGGGAAGCATCAGAAACACTAAAGGGCCAAAGAAAGGCCTGTCCCTGACTGAAGCACAACCTCACACTTTACCCCTCCCATGGGATACAAAAGAGGTGGTACGAAGCCCCCAGACTCACGACTCTCCATGACCATAAATGGTAAGGGGTGGGACCAAGGGCGGGCACTACAGGTATAATTATGCCTGCTAAGGAGGGGGGAACTGGGATCCTGGGAAAAAGGCTCAGCGCCGGGGGGAGGGTGGCGAGCCCAGCCGGGGCTCCGCTCTCCCCGGCGGCCAGAGGCAGCGCCGGGGGGAGGGCGGCGAGCCCGGTCGCGGCCCCGCTCTCGGGCCAGAGCGCTGCGCCGCCCCCCTCCAGGTGCCGCCCCAAGCACCAGCTTGGTGGGCTGGTGCCTGGAGCCGGCCCTGACTGTGCCTCTCAGCCTTTGATGCAAATCCTGAGATTGAGCCCTCGGACGCTTAGGGTGATGTGGCGGGGCAACGACTCACTGGTGTGGCGCCTCCTGCTGGTCATCCAGGGAATTAGCTCTTTCCAGCCTGGAGCACCCTCTACAGGCCGGTTGATGTCTCGCCTGCCGCTGGCCCCTTGTCCCTCCCGGACCCCGGTGCCCTTTGCCCAGGGGTTCTGCCCACCGCGGTACCCTCTGTCTGGGTCTCCCCTCCCAGGGGAACTCCCACCCCCTATCCCCACCTTGCCTCAGTGGCTACTGCCAGTCACCATTAGTCCCCGCCCCCTGGGGCAAACTGCAGTCTGTAAACCACTCATCATCGGCAAGGGGGTTTGGACCAGCGGCCTCTGCCTATCTCTGGGCTGCCCCTCTGCAGCCCTAGTGCCCTTTTGTGGGCCCTTAGCTTGGCCTGCAGCCTGGGGCTTAGCTAGGCTGGAGCTCCCCAGCCCTTCACCACCCTAGGTCCCCTCCTCGGCTTCCCAGCAGCCAGGTCCTTCTCTCTCACAAAGCTAGAGAGAGAATCTCTTTTCCAGTCTCTGGCCCTCGGCCCTCTTATAGGGCCAGCCGCAGTCTGATTGGGGCGTGGCCCCACCTGTGGCTGCTTCCCCAATCAGCCTGTCTTTTCCCAGCTGCTGCCCTCTCCAGGGCTGTTTTAACCCCTCTGGGAAGGGGCGGGGTGACCACCCCGCTACAGGTGACCAGACAGCAAGTGTGAAAAATCGGGACAGGGGGTAGGGGGGGTAATAGGAGCCTATATAAGAAAAAGACCCAAAAATCGGAACTGTCCCTATAAAATCAGGACATCTGGTCACCCTACGGGACGCTTCCATGCAAGGACCAGGGTGGCGAAGAATCCAGGGTGACGTCCCATCTCCCCGCACGGGCCTCTGGGGCTGGCCCCAAAGCAGAGGGCAGAGGCATCCGTCTGATTAGTCACACAGTTTATTGGCTTAGTTCGGGTGTATTACAAACAACGGGGGCTCGTCACAATTAAAAAGCACAGGAGCACGGGAAGTGCACTTTAGCCGAGTCACGCAGCGGGGGGCGGGGAGGAATGGGGGGGGGCGGTGGGTGTGGACTCACAGAGGGACCGCCCTGTACACACACCGGCTGGGAAGGGGCCAGGCAGATGTGGGGGAAAGGGGCTAGGGGAGGGGGCTGCATACCAGTCTCCCGTTCAGAATGTGCTGGGCGCCTGCTTTCTCCCCCTCAAGCCACCCCTACCCTGATCCAGCTGGGGAATCAAGGGCCCGATCCGGAGTCCATTAACAGCAGCAGCGGAAAGCCCATCAGGAGCAGACTCGGGCCCTAAGTGACTAGGCTGGTGCCTGGTTTAAGACTGACTTGGGTCCAGAGCTAAACTGGAACCTGGGGGAGGTCTGCCCCGTAGCGTAACTCCCCATCTGCCCCATGTGTGGACTGGGGGGCGGGACTGCCCCCAGAACAGCAAGAGCTCCCGGGGCCGGACTAAGGGCGGATCCGTGGAGCCCTAGAAGCCAGATCCCCACCCAGTAGGTGGCACGAAGCTGGCTGATTCTCGACAGCCACCTGCCGTGGAGGAGAGGACGCAGCCTGGCCCCACCCCAGGTTGGGACGGGACCAAGGAAGGGGCTACAGGAGGACAACGTGCACCTGGCAAGGGCAGCCGGGCAGGCAACGTCCCTCTTTGTACAGCTGGGTCACTCTCACACCGCCCCGCCACACCCCTCTTCACCCCCCCACCCCCAGAGAATAGACATGATTACAGGGTCCTTAACGTTATTCTTCGGCAAAGATCTCAGCCATGGGGGCTAAGACCATTGGTTAAATGAAATAATTGAGGGGTGGTGGAATCGGCTACAGGCGAAGCTTTGCCAGTGTCCATCCTGGATTGCACCAAACCCAATGCTGGGAAGCCGGGTACCTCTTTCAGGGGTCACCAAGGGAAGCTAGTCTAGACCCCAATCCCAGGGGAGAAGCATCTGTGCTACTGCTGCGTTTGAAGGCCAAGGGTCGGAGGCTGAGCACGGAGAGGAAAGCCTCGGCCTCCGTCTGCCCCTGGAGAAATGATTGTCACAGACCGAAGAGAACTGGCCAGCCTAGTGGGAAAATAGCAAGTGACTAACTGGGATCTGCTTCTCTGGACCCAGCCCTCCTCCTGCTACGAGAATCTTTGAACGGGACCGTGAGGAGCCTGGAAATGGAACCAGGTGCAAACAGGCGACGGATCCCTGATCCAGCAAAGAACATGTGCAGTTACACACGGGCGTTAGTGCTTTGTTGGATCGGCGCCTAGAAGAGGCAATAACAATTTGATTGTAAAATGTATTCCCTGTTGTAAAATGTATTCGCTGTTGATCAAGGCTTCAGGTCGTGATGTCTCCCTGTGTGTGTGTGTGTGCGCACGTGTGGGCACATACTTTTTAACCCCTTGGTTTCTATTTGGGGGCCAGCTTCACTGCTGCCTCCTTCTGGGCCCCTCTCAAAGTCAGTAGAGCTAGGAGGGAGAATGGGCACGGCCCCGGGTGGGTATTTTTCCATGGGCACGGCCCCGGGGGGTATTTTTCCATGGGCACGCAGGCTGCTACGTGTGTTGTGCTCCATGACCTTTGCCAGGACCGCGAGTCCTCTCCGGCCGACTGACCGAACAAGGACTAATGCCAGGGATGAGAACCGCCGACACGTAGTGGAAGGGCGTGAAAACCACAGCTGGGTGCAGCATGGAGTAGCCGTGGGGCGACACCGAGCACGGGAACCTTTCAAGCTGCGCAGCAGGGGAAACGCTTTAACAGCGACGGCTACACAAATCGCGGGGGGAGGAGGAGGGGGGAGACCATTGTGTGCAGTCAGGGGCCTGATCTTTGGTTAATCCTTGAGACATCACATTAGGGTGAAATTTACCCCTCTGCAGAGGGGCAACAAGTAGCCTCGGCACCTGCTGAGTCCAGTTAAGCCTCCAGGGCACGTGCTGTTAATCTTGCCCAGTGGTAATTTCCACATAACAGAGAAGCCAGGATGACGTCCCCCTTCAGGACCTGCATGCCTGGGCAGAAGATGCTGTTGCTACCTGGGTGAGATCAGCCTCTAAGGATGATGTGAGAGAACAGGGTGAAAACCAAGGGAGCACAGAGCCACCTCCCCACACTTTTATCACCTACCCATTAACTGACCGACCTGGTGTAACGATGGCGGAGCTGGCACTGATGCACCACACAGGTGGCATAAACTGGCATAACACCATTGGCTTCCCATTTACACCAGGTGAGAATCTGGTCCCATAGCGTCTAGAGCCGGGCGAACATTTTCAACAAATAAAAAGCATTCCTCAACTCCCAGGGCCAGGCCCTCCGAAGGCGTAAATCCACTGGAGTCAATGGAACTGGGCTGACTTACTCAAGATGGGGATCTGGCCCCAACTTGACCTTGAGGGCGTTTGGCGTGATTTCCGTGAACACGCCCAAAAGCTTTGGTGTTTGTCTGTCTGCAAGAACGTTCCTGGGACGCTCACGTGCGTACAAACGTGTGCTCCGTGCAGGAAGCGTTCCCAGGGGCACCTCCTTAAATCCCTTTCCTCGTCCCCGCTCGTAACAAATTTCAACACTCCAGCTGGAGAGCAGAGGCGATACCAAAGACTCCGGCCCGCAACCCGACGCCCTGCTTAAGGCCAAGTTCCCGGAGCGTTTTCATTGAGCGTTCGTCGAACCGTTTCCAGTAACGAGCAAATTTGTAATAATGTCTATCTGGGGTGTGGGAAAAAAGGTCTAAAGTCGTATCGATAAATGAGTCACTGCAGATAAATGACCCAGCCCCAATGCATCCCTGACTCTGTCGTCCTGAACCAAACACTAATTGAGCGCTAGCTTTTCCTTACACAAGCTCCAATCTCTAGTCCTACCACTAACCCTACAGCTCGTCCTATTTCAGCCCCTGTCACAGCAAAGGAGACCCAAGACCCACACCCAGGAGCTTTGTCTGTCTAGCCGGGAAGTCTTACCTCTAGCACCGAGCCTGCATTCTAATGGCACCCCCTGGGTCATGGCCCATTGCTTGATTTGTTCTGCTGGATGGGATTTGTCCTGTACTCCCATTGCCTCCCCTAGGGAACCCAGTAAAGGACCGCCCACTCCGAGGAGGGCCCAAAGGCAGCGAGCCAACAAGCTGCCTTTGGGGGACTTGTAGCATCCTTGCGAATCTGGCAGTTGCGGAGCAGAACTGCCTCCCGGGTCATGCTCTGCTGCAGAGCCTGGGGCAGACCCTCAGCTGGTGTCAGTGAGCTGGCGTCGCTCCACTGAAGTCGATGCGCTCTGGCAGTTTACACCAGCTGGGGTCTGGCCTGCAATTCATCGGGCGTGATCAGGGGAGCGAGGGGCTGATCTCGCCACGCCCACAGCGCTACGCTTCAGGGAGAGTGGGTGCAAGGAAAGCGATTAGGGATCAGGGAGGCCTCTGTTCTGAAGAGCTCCCTCGCGAGGTGTTCCCGAGAACGGACGTCAGCCCGGATAAGAACCAGACGCTCCCTGGAGGTGGCTGGGGCCCAGTGGCCAGCTACAGACTCGAACCAGGAGCGGCAAAAGAACTAAAGCCGAGCAAAGCATCACCACTCACTTCACTGCTTTAAAAGCCAGGTGCCCTCCTTCAGCATAACACAGTTCAAGAATAAAGATATTCTGAGGCCGGAAACCTCTGTGAGTGGCCCCCAGAGGAGTCCGCAAGCTCTGGGGCAGACCCACAACAGTCAGCGGGTAGCCGAGAGTAGACTCCAGCCCCATCGCTTTACTTGGGGGACGGGGGAATTCTGCTTTCAGGTACAGCTGGTGCAACCCCATTAGTGTCACCAGGCCTGCCTAGGTTTCAAGGAGGGCAGAACTGGGGCCTGGTTTAGGGGTGTCTCCAAGCAATTGAGGCAGCTGCCAAACTCTGCCCCCCTTCAAAGCCATTTGTCGGGTCCCTTGCTGGGCTCCTTGGCCACAAAGTGAAAACCGTTTTCCTTTGCCAGGGCCAAATGTGCTGAATAAGCAACTGGCTCGAGGGGACCCATCAATGCCACTAGGTGGCGCCAAAGGCAAATCATAATGCCCCCACCCATGCAGCAATAGGGCATCTGGCAGGGCATGCTCGAGTGAGGACGTGCCAAGGGATTGGAGGGCTCAGACTTTGTCCAGACGAGCATGTTGCGTGGGAGGGCTGCCCTGGACCGGGAAGGCGACAGCATTGATGCTATGGAGCTGCCGGTGCTGAGTGGGTGGAGGTGCTGACAGGGGACGAGGGCCCTACCTGTGGCTAACCAGGGCTCCACAATTTAATGACCACGAACATGTTCAGAACAACACTCCAGAACTCCCGACGAGCAGTCCCTTCTCCCGCTGGCCGAGTCTTGGGCCAACCTCTTCCAATTTCACCCACCGTCCAGAGCTGGGAGCATCTCGGTCAACAGCTCAGTGGCTGATATCCTTACCGGCACGGCGTCTACAAGGGAAAAGTTCATGCAAGGGGAGACGCAGTCAGTGTCCTTCCAACCACCTCGCCCCCTCACGGCCTTGTCATTCCAGCAGAGAAAAGCCAGCTAAGAAATGAAGGAGCCGCTCTTCTGTAGAAACCAGCAGAGGACATGACATCACAGGGGTGTGGGAGCTGATAGGTCCCGGTTCCGGCATTCAAACCAGCGGGGTCAATAAAGTACCTTAAGGCTTGTGGTCACCACTGTGAGTGCCGGACATAGAAGTTCCTTCAGAGAAGGAGTGACTCCAGAATAACTGATTCTGCTGCCTGGAAATCCAGCAGGGATCTGTTTATTTTTTACACCGCTGCATTTTTCTGGAGCTGCGCGTTGCCCCAGGCACCACAGGAACGATCAACTTTAGGTGTTGAAACAACAGGTCCATCTCACAGCCCACCCCCACGGACCTTGGCCAAGCTGTGTTGGAACGTCACACACGGACTCCGGGGAGTGTCCTTTTCCTTTTGCCGCAGAAACAGTCCCTCTTGTGGCTGGTTTGAAGGCTCGCGTCAGTGCTTAAAAACTCCAAGCAGCAAGGTCAGGCCAAATTTAAGTTCGGTCCAGCAGCTCACGTGCCGGCCGAAACCTCTGCTTCAAACTTTTTGTGGAGCTGTGGTTTGGGGCGCTGTGTCTGTGACTTGTCGGGTTTCCCCAGACCTGTCGTCGGAACGAACCCGGGGCGAGGGGGATAGTTAAGCTGCCGCTGGACAGGCGGGCTCTGTCGGCTGGGCCGTGGCCTTATCAAGATGATACAGGTGTTTCTAAACCGTGGCCCGTTGACGCCAGGGCGTGTGGAGAAAGTGCTGGGACGTAGGCGGCCTCCCTCCTTCCCCTTCCAGAAGGCCGGAAAGAAATTCCTAACAACAGCCAGTTCTTGAAGAACCATCTAAGGAGGCTTCTTAGTCCTATGACCCTCTCCTGAGCCCCCCCATCAGTGAGATCAGCTCCAGCATCCTTCGGATAACAGAGGAGGGTGTCATTTAACGAGGGGGAAAGCCATCAGTACAATTAAAAAAACGGGAGTCCTACAGGCGGGAGAGTTCCGTGATGGCCATCCCCGGTGGGCTGAGGAGCTCTGAGAAACCCCACCATGGCACAGGGGAGCAGAGGGGAGAGACAAAGGCAGGGGGAAAAAAATAAGCGTGTATAATAAATATAATATTCAGCGCCGGTGGCGTATTGCATGGAAGCGGACGTCAGACGAGCGATGCCGCGGCCGGGAGATGGTGCTGCCTATTATACACTTTACAAACACTGCATTTGTTTCCCCAGTCTCTTAAGAAAAAGAAGTTGTGTCTGGTAAGTAAATAAAATACTGTGTCACTTGGAGTTTGTGGAACTTAGCGAACTATGAGGGACAGGGTAACAGAAGATGGGGGGCAGTCCTTTTTGGCTGTACAATGAGGGGAGGTCAAAAGGAGCCGGCCGACGTTTCACATCACCGTGCAGCATTTGCAACGGTGTTTCTTCATGTCTAGGTCCTGATCGGCCCCCTTGGGATCCGTGTCGTTGGCCCCTGGCTTCTCCCCGACCTGGCCGTCTTCCTTCTGCGGCAGGGCGGCCACAGGCTCCACGGTGCTGCCGTTGGGCGGGGCGTGGTCCTTGCCCGTGCAGTCTGCCGCTCCAGCCGCTGCTGGCTTGTTGTCGGCATCTTCGATCACCACCAGCTCGGCCTTGATGGTGCCCCCCAGGCCCAGCACCTTTTTGGTCTCGTTCTCGTCCTCCACGTTCTGGTAGCCCATGAAGATCATGGTGACCGGCTGCTCTTTGCTAGGCTCTGCCCCTTCACCGGAGGCCAGGATTCTTGGGCTGTCCATTGGCTTGGCTTGCACCCCAGTGATCTCCTTCCGGGGCGTGGTCTTTTGGCTGGGCAGGTTGCTCCCGGGACTCCCCTTCTTGGCCTCTTCGCGCTCCTTGGTCTTGGAGTCCCTCCGGGAGGCCTCGCTCAGGTTCGCCTCATCTGCCTTGTGGATCAGCTCGTCCACCTCAGAGGAGCTGAGAAGGTGCACCCCGTTCTCGATGGCGCCATCCTCCATGTGGACCGCGTGCACCACTGCGGGAGAGACAGAGAAGACAGTGAGGGCTCAGAGGAAGGCCAAGGGGGCGTGTGCCAGGCTGGTCTAGAGATGAGAGGTGGTGCCTGGATCTGGGGTAGGCAGAACCAAGCCGGGGCTGGGGGCTTAGGTTTCAGACGGCAGGAATCTACGGAGCTAATCTCACATTATCGCCCCCATCTGGAGCTGGGTGCCTCTTGGTTTAGGATCTGACCCACACCCAGAACTCCCCTTCTGGATCAGGCAGCTTTTGAGCCCTTCAAAGAAGCAGACACGCCCTACACTCCGCTGTTTGCTGCACCCTCGACCCAGTCACCAGAAACCGTGGTTGTCATCCAGTGACACTCCCAGATCAGCACTTGCTACTGTCCAGGGAATTATTCCAGCAAACCCCCATCTTCAGTCAGGTGAAGAGAACCAATGGCTTCTAAAGCAGTGCTTGGGACCGATCCCACTGGGCACCCACACAGGAAAAAACCCTTTAAACAGGAAACCACCAGTCCTAGAATTGGTCAGCTAGGATACATCCACAGGCATAATCTATCTAGATCATCCTCAGTACAGGGATGACGACCTGGGACATCTATAAGAAAGAATCCCCACCCCTGAGATTAGTCTACGCAGCCACTAGGTGGCGCTACTGCTCCATACTAAGGCATTTGGGTTTGATTTCCCCCTGGTGGTGAGGACATGTTATCCCCATGGAAGGTGGCTCTGCTGTTTATTATGTGGCTAGCTTGGTGCATCTTTTCCCAGGAGACAAGGGTGTGTGAATAATGCAAGGCAGCAAAATAGTGCAACCCACACACAGATCATGGGACAGGCCAGGAGAGAAACCCAAAGCACCTGATCAGAGCAAAATGAGCAGTCCACATACCAAGGGAGCCCCAAGCTCAGCGCTCCTGTCGGCATCCCGTGGAGATGCTGTTACAAACCTATCTAAGCAGAACACACGTCGAAGCCCAATGTGTGGAGTAGGTGTGGGGCCAGTGTCGGTTACCAATGGAACAGGGAAGGTCGCAGCACACCCTCGATAAGAGCCATTCATGGGGACTGATGTTCACTGAAAATGGGGCTGTGTTTGCCCATCGTTTGTAAACCGATCCCCCCACATCTGCTGAACGCTACAAGGGGCGAAGGGACTTTTAAACGTGCCTTCGCTTGTTTCAGCCCCAATGCCTCCCTGCACCCGCCGGGCGACAAACAAGATCAAAGCTGCACTTGACCGAAAGAGTCTGAACGTCCCTCCCATCACACCTCAGCTGCCTTGCCCAGCAATCCACGCGGCTTCTGCCACGCTGGGGCATTTGTCCCAGCAGCCTGGGACGATTGCTGCGAGGGGAAGGTTGCAGCAAATCACTATTGTTTTCCGATAGTTAGCACCACCCTCTTGCTATCCACTCACAATCCCAGGAAGCGGCTGTCAGCTGATGCGGTGGCCCAACACAAAAGGCAAAAGGTAACTGCAGTCATGGAGGCTCTCAACGAGAAAGCAAGGTAACACAGGAAGTCAGGTCATATTAGCCCCCATGTCACACACTAGGGAAACTGAGGCACAGGGCAGGGAAAGCAACTTGCCCGAGGTCGCACAAATTAAGTAGCAGAGCCAGGGCCTGAACTGGACCCAGAGTCCAGCATCCAAGCCACGGCACCACACAGCTTCGACCTAAACAATGTTACCTCCCACACACGCCGATGCATCAACTCGAGATTATGTCATGCATCCTATGAATCTTTCCTCCATCTCCTGGGGCTACCCTGGGACATGAAAGCGCTTATCTGACATCCTCCAACGAGAGAGAGAGAGAATCAGAGCAATGCGGGGCTGGAAGGGACCTCCAGAGGTCATTAAGACCAGCCCCCTGTGTGACCATCCCTGACCGGGGTTCCGCCAACCTGTTCTTAAAAACCTCCCATGACGGGGATTTCCCAGCCTCCCTTGGAAGCCTGTTCCAGAGCTTAACTCCGCTTATAATTAGAAAGTTTTTCCTCATATCGAACCTAAATCTCCCTTGCTGAAGATTAAGCCCATTACTTTTTTGTCCTATCTTCAGTGGACATGGAGAAGAACTGATCACCAGCCTCTGTATACCAGCCCTTTACATATTTGAAGATCGTTATCAGATCTTCTCTCTCTCTCGTCTTTTCTCAAGACTAAAGGTGCCCAGTTTCGTGAACCTTTTCCCCTAGGCAGGTTTTCAGAACCTTTCATCATTTTTGTTGCTCTCCTCTGGACTCTCTCCAATTTGTCCACATCTTTCCTAAAATGGGGTGCCCAGAACTGGACACAAATGAAGCCTCATCAAGGTCAAGTGGAGCAGGACAATCACCTCCCGTGTCCTACACCCGACACTCCCGTTAACACACCCCAGAATGAGAACCGCCTTTTTCACAGCTGCATCACATTGTTGACTCATATTCAATGTGTGATCCACTAGGACCCCCAGATCCCTTTCAGCAGTACTATTGCCTCACCATTTATTCCCCGTTTTGTGGGTGTGCATTTGATTTTTCCTTCCAAAGTGAAGTACTTTGCACTTGTCTTTGCTGAATTTCCTCCTGTTGAATTCAGAGCAATTCTCCTATTTCTCAAGGTCATTTTGAATTCTAAGCCTGTCCTCCAAAGTGCTTGCAACCCCTCCCGGCTTGATGTCATCTGCAAGTTTTATCAGCATGCCCTCCACTCCATTACCCAAGGCATTCATGAAAATATTGCCTAGTGCCGGACCCAGAGCTGGCCCTGCGGGATGCCGCTAGAGACGCCCTCCCAGTTTGACAGCAAACCATTGAGCACGACCCTCTGAGCACAGTTTTTCCAAGCAGTTGTGCACCCGCCTTGGTTTGGCTTGATTTGTTCTTGACAAATCCATGCTGGCTGTTCCTTAGAACCCTACTGTTCTCCAGGGGCTTGCAGATTGAATCTACTGGTTCCGGGAGAGCAACATGGCGCTGGGTATTGGGCGGGGACGCAGGGTGTGGCGGCTGTTAGCTGCTAACCCTGAGTAGTTGGTGCCAATGACCCACCGCAGCTGGGGCAGGGGTCCGTCTGCCAGTCCCCAGGGAAGCTGGAGAGCGGTAGAGAGCAAGTGAACGGTCACTGATGCTCCTCCGGCTGTGCCTACAGCCACCTTCTCCCTTCACCTCCCTTTTGGCCTCCAGGATGCCTGGGGAGGGAGGGACGCTCTTTGGGCCCATACCTTTCATCTCATCCTCGTACACCTTGACCCCCTGCAGGCAATGATTCTTGGGGAGCAGGGTGGTGCTGGATAGGACTTTGGTCTCGCCAGTTACTCTGTCCTTCTCCACTGTGATCTCCACTGAGTACATGGCTGGGATACAAACAGGACAGTGAGAGTTAAACCAGCCCCCGGCTCCCACCCCGCTACGAGGCTCCAGCACTCAGAAGCAGGCAGCTAGCGCAGGGGGAGAAGGGGGTGCGTGATGGAGAGGAGGGGGTGCCAGTGGGCGAGCTCGGAGATGTTAGGTGGGGAGAGGCGGCAGTGTGCGTTCCAGCAGGGAGGAGTGCGTGGCAGGCAGCCCCTACGTCCCAGGCACAGCCTTCCCAGACGGATGTACATTACCTTCCAGCATCCTTAGCGCCTGGGCCATCCCAGTGCTGCTGTGAGCTCCCTTACCTCTGGGGCTGTTTGGTCTCCCCTCTTGGTAGCTGATGCGACATTGTGGACAGAGAACTGCTTCCATTGTCACCTCTCTGTCTAGAGAGCTGAGGGATGGGCCTAGCTCGCCTCTCTCCACTGGCCAGCAGGATAAGGCCCCGCCAAGGACTCTGAGCAGGGATCTGACCCTCACTCCGGTTTTGTACATTTAGTAAAAACCCCAACTTTCAAATTCAGCTGTCGTAAGAACGGCAGGAAAGCACCTGCCCTCTGATCTCTCAGATGGAGGCAGGAGGCAGAAGAGAATCTAGGAGTTGTTTCCGTCAGTCCACTGAGCAGGTATGAATCAAAGACGCGCAGGGCTCGGCTTCTCCAATGAACAGCGAGCCCCAGGAGCCCAACTGCCCTCTGTGGCATTGTTCTCCCCTGTGCAAAGTGGGTGCAAGACACTCCCCCAGCTGGAATTCCCCACTCCCGCGGCTGGGAGGGTGTCCCCCCTGCTCTGCGCAGGCGTCCGTGACAACGCAAGGCGCAAGCCGGTGGAGAACCAGGCACTGGGACAGATTCTCAGCTGGCGTAAAATGGCGTAGCTCCACTGGCATCTGTGCAGCGCTTCCTGGCTTTGGGCTCGTCTGCTCTCCTTCGGCACTTCGACCGCTGGATCCTCGTCGCTGAGAACGCCTCGGACCCAGCTCTCGCGTGCTACACCTGAACTCTGGGGCCTGCTCTGTCCCCTTGGCTTGGTAGCTCCTCGATGGAGCCGTGGACTCTAAGGCTTGATCCATACTCACCTGGCTAAAGGCATTTGCAACAGGAATGTAGCTTCCCTTTCATGCAACGTTGCTAAGCCCCGTTGTACTTAACCTGCAAACACCAGAGCACCAGCAGAATGGCGGTATGGACCTACGGAGATCCGTGCTGCTAAGCGCGCCAAGCTGAGCTGTGCTGGCTTGCAAGCAGCCTTTAGATTAGCCAGCCCGCTTTATCTAAGCAGCCAGGCTGCAGTGCTGCGTTGGGGGGTTAGACGAGCCATGCTATGAATCAGCGTGTCCTTCCCTCTGAGCCAACAAGCCACAAGGAGCAGGAGGCAAAGAAAGAAAGAAATCAACCCAAGGGAAAGTAAGGGGATTTCTATCCACAGGCAACCCAAACAAGTGCAGCTGCAGCGTGATTTCAAATAATAAGAGGGTAAAAGGGTAAGGCCAGAAACAGCATCTAAGATTATATAAATAACATTTCTGCCTGGGGCTTGGAAAGCAATCGAGCTGTATGGATCGCACTTGACGTTAAGTGGGTTTACATGTATGTAACAAGCGTGTCGTTAACGAGTATCTCCACTTTGGAAGGCAGAGGTTCTGGGGCTGTGGCTTGGATTGTTCTTGGCATTAGCTCGACCTTACTGTGTGGTAGGACTCAAGGTGTAGCTCATTCACGCCACCGTTCGCCACGCAGCGCTGGCAAAGCAGGGCTGGGGTTGGCCCGGTAGCTACACATGTGTGAAAAGGCCCCAGTGGACGCAGTTCAGAAATAGCCGTGTCGTCTTTATGTCTGGTCGGTGTCGGGGATCGAAATTCACAGCAATGCTTTTGGAGCTAGCTCACCGTGGAGTGGCCTGTCCTTTGCCCATCCCATGGGCAGGTGCCCGTCCACCTGCTTCTCGGAGATACAAACTCGCTCAAGTTCTGAGTTCCATCTTCCCTGCGCCCTCGGGGGTAACTGCCAGATGGCAGAGACATGCAACCGAAAGCTTGAGCCAATCCTGCATAGAAGGAGCTGTGGGTAGGACTTCTAATAGTTATTGGAGTTGGGCTCAAAGTCTGGATTCACAGCCAAATCTAGGACTGGGCAAATAACCGATTTTTCGGTTTGGTGGCTGAATTGAGTAATTGTTCCTAGATTCCTAGATTGCAAGGCCAGAAGGGAGCATTGTGATCGTGTCTGACCAGGCCAGAGAACTGCCCCCAACCAATTGCTAGAGCGGAGTGTTCAGAAAACCAGCCAAGCTTGATTTAACAATTGCTTCGCCTTGAACCAAACTGAAAAATGTTCTGTTTTTCTTGATGCAAGAGAAAAACAAAAACAGTTCATTTAAGATGGAACAAAACGTTTCGGATCGACCCAAAACAAAAGTTTTTTTTGTTTGGCTTTTGGGAAATGTTTGTAATTTTCTTAAAAATACCTGTAGGTAAATTCTGAAAAGAAACGTCTCTCTGAAACAAAAAACGGAAACATTTTGACATTTCCAATTTTTTGGGGGAGGAGCAAAACTATTCTCATTAAAAATGTCCCCCAGCTCTATCGAGAGCCAGCGTTCCCAAAGGCTGAAGGGTTTCAGATTTGAGCCAGTCCCTAATTACTGTTAAACAGAACCTGGTGAGCAGCATCATTTATTGCGACTTTAATACACGCATGCACTGCAACAGGAGGGCTGGGAAAGCCCCTTTCCTCGCTCATAGGGTGGTTGGCATTCTTTGCCCCTCCATTTTTTTACATTGAAAAATGGCATTTTTTTTAAACTGAAATTTTTGCAAAAAATTTTTTTCTACACGGTCAAAAACTCTCTGTCTTGCACAAAATTCTCCAGGGGTGTTTTTAATTGGTATTTTTAAGCATGATCATTATTGACATTTTTCATTTACCCAAAACCTGGTTTTCAGTTAAAAAAAGAAAAGCCACCAAGGCCAAGTATTTTTGGGAAACAAAATATTTCTGGTAACCGTTTTGAAAAGCACAAAAGATTTTGGTGGCAAATGGATCCCTTTCAAGCCCTGCAAAATGGAAACAGCTCCAACACTTTGAATTTTCTGTGCCTTCGTTTCCTGAGACAACCGTCTTCCCGAGGGGAAAATCACAGACCCACCTCCACTAGAGAACAGAACAAGATTACCGGCTCAGATCCTCATAGGTCTTGGGACACCAAACTCCCATTGATTTCAATGGACGTTCGGCACCTCCGCACCTTCGAGGGTCTGGGCCATAGAATTTACTCACGCTGTTCCGTTCGGTTCAGTCGGACCCACCTGCGGAGCTCACCTTTGCTACGTGACAACACAGCGGGGAAAAGCGTGGGGTCTGCTTTATGAGAGTGATACAGGGGGAGCTGGCCCTTTAAAAGGCGGACGCTCAGCCTGGCCTCTGCCAGGTGTAACCCACCGTCCCAGGGGACAGGAATGGGGACAGGGGATCAGGTGATGGGAGCAAGAGACGTAGAACTAGGCCTGCTGGAAGAGCTAAGTGGCAGCCTGGGTATAGTGGGGTGGGGTGGGGGGGAGTCCAGGGAGAGGCCCAAAGGAACTGGAGGGCCGGATGAGCTGCTGGGCAGAGGGCCTGGGGAGGGAGCTGGCTGGGACAAGGGCAAGTGACAGCTCTCCAGAGCTCCCAGGCAGGAGGCCTCAAAGAGATCCCTGCGGGAAGCAGGAGCTTGCTGCATAAGGGCCCTCATAAAGGACTGTGGGCCTGGAGGGAGGGGAAACTGAGGCAGGGGCCAGCCCGGTGAAGCCGTGCTACAATGGGTTTTGAGCAGCACAGTCCTTAGCGATTGAAATGCCCCATTAGGGCCACAATCCTGCACGGTGCTGAGCAGGGGCATCATGTGCTATTGGGGGGGGGGGGGGGGGGGAGTTTGCAAGACCTTGGTTTGCCCCTCCTCCAACTTTTCCTAGGCCTATAGGCTCCATTCTGTCTTCCACTCCCCCTCCCAGACTGACAATCACAGATAATGGTCTCTGTGCCGGCGCAGTTTTGCCCCCCTGGCCCCCCTGAATTTTTCTGAAATGACACCCCTGGGGCGGAGTCCCCTCAGCCTCTGTTGGCGCCAAAGGGAGCCAGCGCGTCCTGGGCCGGGGCCCATGATCACCTAGTCTATAGCCACACAAGGGCAGAGGCCAAAGGTGCAATGCGCAGGGGGGGGGGGTGTGTCCCCACAGGCCGGTCCCTGCAGGATTGGCTACAAGAGGCTGGATTGGCAGCTACGCTAGATCTCGGATAAAACTCAAGAAGCCACAACACGAGGGACTGAATCAAATAAAGATTCAGCCAGCCAACTGGCTTTGATTGGGGGGGGAGGGCGTGCATGGAAGGTGACTCTCCCTGGTAACTCGAGTGCCGTACCAGATACAGAGCCAGGAAACAGGCTAAGAGGGAAACGCTTCCAGTGTGTCCTTAACGCACGGGGCCGTGCGCCCAGCACTGCATCGGGCGACCCCGTGTCTCACGTGAGGAGTGCGTGACTCACGTTTCCCTGGGGTACAGCCCTTGGATGCGCCAGACACTGGGTACCCAGCACTGCTCCAAGTGCTGACTGCCTGGTACAAGGTGGATTTCAGCCTGCCCCTAATAGGATCTGGCTGGCATCAGGGGCCTTCGCATGCCCTTCCCCCGGGGAACGGTTCCACGTGCAGAGCGTACGACTTGTATCGATGGACCATCAAATTAATGGCTGTCTGCAATTCTAAGCCCGGGTGATGGACACCAATAACCTCAACCTACCTGGCCGAACACCCCGACCCTACCCTGCACATTCCTAACCCTAACCCTAGCCCTGACCCCCGTGCCGTACACCCCTGTCCCCAACTCCCGCTGATAGACACCTGCAGCCCTGCTCTGAGCACTGCGGCTTTGCTGCGATTTTCTCTTCCGATTCAACACGACCCTGGTGTAGCCCCACGGCATCCTGCCCCCATCCAGCGCTAAGTACCATGGGGCAGTAGGACTCCAGCGTCCTCCCCGGGACAAGAGGCGACGTACGTACCTGCCTTCATCATGTCAGTGCCCTCCACCGACTTCATGGGGCTGTTGGAGATCTTCTGCTCCGCTGTGGGAAAGAAGAGGAAAAACAATGACTTCTCTATCCAGGTGACCTGTCGTAGCAGGGGACATGCCCTGTTCCCACCATGCCCTGCTCCCAGCCACGCCCCGTGCCCTGCTCCATGATGTCCACCACAACAGGGGACGGGCCAGGGGCTCAACACGGGCTTGCAACAGCAACGATCATCCAGCTCGCCTCTTCGACCCCGCGCCCTGGGGAGCTGGGGGGAGGCACTTCCCACCACCGGGGAGGCTGTTGCCCTCTGCAAATGGGCTTTCGTGCCTTAGGTCAGCGCCTAGTTCACCCTGCAGAAAGCAGGTGCAGTCAGAGACGGCTGATAGCTGTTTAATGGAGAGAGGAGAAGGGGGGGGTTGGTAAGGTGGGTGACTGGCTTCGGCAACCCACCCCGAGCCGTAGGGCTGGGGGCATTTCCAGGGCTGGGTGGCACTCAAGCAAAGGGAAATCGACTGATTGAAGGAGCCATTCCCGCTCCTGGGGATTCACTCCCTGCAGAGCGAGGCGACTGGGAGCTCAGCACCGATTGGCATCCAGCGGCCAAGCCTGTCCGAGTGCTGCCCAGCCACGCGGCCGGGACCAAGGACTGCAAGGCCAGGGCATCACATTCTGCTTCTCCTACATAGGAGGCCACCACTCAGAGCAGGGGCGCCGGGGAGCTCGCTCCTAGGTGAGGGGAGTGTGGGTGAGACAGGAGAGAACCCACCTTTAGTTGTGCCCAGCGGAGTCTGCAAAACAGAACAGAGAGGTTACAAGTAGCACTGCTGACTCCCAGCCCTCCTCTGGCACCCGAGTCCTCCACCCAGTCGAGCAGGCATTAGCTAATCCAACCACCAGAACAGCAGACGGCTCCCCTGCTCCGCTAGTTGCTGCTGCCAGCTAGCAGCACTCAGACCCAGCGGGTACGTCTCACTCTAACCATGTGGCTTGAGACTCGTTAGCTCAAATCACAGTACTTGGGGGCCGGGCAACCAGAGATAACGGAGCGCCCCGAATTGGTGCACTTTGAAAGGGGAATACGGTGCGGAACTGGCCACTGTCTATGTGCACGGATGGGATCAGGGCCGTTCAGCTGCTGTGTCATAGACCCTTCAGGGCTAACAGCAGCGAGTCCCCTTTAGACTGAGTCTTGTCCTTCACCCGGCGTCGAGCTCCCCAGCCAGGCGGTGAAGGGATGCAAATGGATTTGCAGAACTCAGTCAGGTGGATTCCAGCTTCTTTCCAGCATTCTCTGTCTTCATCAGCACAATTATTTCCACCCACTGACAAACACCAGCCAATCATCGCCTTTTAATTCCCCACGAGGACTCACATCCCCATCAACCGGGCAGGGCGTGCGGAGGGCTCGGAGTGTCCCCTCTGATCCAGCAGGGGGCGTGGCTGAGCACAGCCGCTGACGGCAGCTGCCCCGGCAAACAACCGTCTGCTTCCACGCCAGACTGGGCCATGCGGCTGATTAACCGCACAAACAGGCCGCTGGCCAGCAGGCCTTGTCCCTGCTGAGCTCTGCGATGGCAGGGCGGGGGTGCACCAGGCAGAGCTGTGGGGCTGGCCCGAGCGCGGCGGCTGAGGGGTGGGGATTTTCTCGAGGGGTGGACGTGGGCTGGCGGGAAAGCTCTGCTCTGGGAAAGATGGGGGCGTTATTTAGGGTTACCATACGTCCGGATTTCCCCGGACATGTCCGGCTTTTTGGTCCTCTAATCCCCATCCGGGGGGAATTTTCAAAAAGCCGAACACGTCCGGGGAAATAGGGAGGCAGCATAAGCCAGGGTCCGCCCGGCCCCAGCACGACCCGCTGGGTCCGCAGCGCAGCCCAGCCGCCCCGGCTACATTGTAGCGAGCTCGGGCGGCGGGAGAGGGGGGGATGCAGCCGCAGAAGGCGGCGGAGGGGCCGCTGCTGCCCCCGCAGGCCGGGCAGACTGTGCGCCTCAGCCGAGCCCGCAGGACCACGGGGAGGCCGGGCCCAGCCAGCGACTCGGGCTTCCCTCGCGGGCGGGGACCCCCCGGCCACTGGGGGACCCTTCCTGCGGCCCCGTCGCCCCGCGCGGCTTGGAACCCGGAGCTGTTTCCAGCGGGGACAGACAGGCCGGGGAACGTGCGCGGCGGCGGCAGGAAGGAGGCTGTGGCGCGGGGCGGGAGTGCGGCGTGTGCTGGGGCTGCAGGGACCCGCGCCGCCCCGGTCGCCGCTGAGCATCCGAAGCCCCCGCCAGGCAGAGGCTGCCGGGGGAGCAGGGCAGGCGGGGGGCGCAGAGGCTGCAGGGCAAGGAGGAGTAGGGCAGGCGGGGGCATAGAGGCTGCAGGGGCAGGGCAGGCTGGGGGCGCAGAGGCTGCAGGGGCGGGGGGGATGCAGGGGCTGTAGGGCGAGTGGGGAGCGGGGGTCACAGAGGCTGCAGGGGCGGGAGGGGTGCAGGGGGAGCAGGGATCACAGAGGCTGCAAGGCGAGTGGGGAGCAGGGAAGCACTTAGCAACCCCCAACCAAGATCTGAGCGGGAGGGAGGAGGGGGAATGCGGGGTGCTCAGAGGAGGGGGCAGAGTTGGGGCAGGGACTTTGGGGAAGGGGTTGGAATGGGGATGGGGTTGGGGCGGGGCCGGGGCCCCCATGGAGTGTCCTCTTTTTTCAGTGTTGAAATATGGTAACCCTAACATTATTTTCAGGGGAAGAGGCGCTGGTTGCCGCCTGTTTCGATCTCACCTGTTAATAAAGCCACGCAGCATTGCATACCCTATCCCCGAGTCGCCCCTGCCTGCTTTCATGTCACGGCTTGCACCGGTGCACGTGCAAAATACTCCTGAGCAGAACCGCCCCCGACACCCGCGCCGAGTGGATACCCAATGTTGCCACTCCGATCGGGCGGCATTTTACCCCCAGGCGGCACACGACGGCGCAAGGCAGCCGGGAAACCGGGGCCTCATGTACGTGCACATGTCTGACTGCAGCTCGGGCACCTGCCGTTACACGCACGTACGACGCGACGACAGATGAACCGATTCCAGGCCCGTGTCCCCGAACCCCGGGACTCGAGGCCATTCGGTGCATTACAGCAGCAGAACCCCTGACTTGGGTAAGGGTGGCTGAGGGTAAACGGAGGCAGCTGGTTCTGTCCCTGCTGCCCCTTCACAGCTGTCTCAAGGGAACAGTCAGAGATGCTTTCCCGGGGTAATCCCTTTAACCGCCCAGCCTCTCTATGCCAACCTGTGCAGTGGGCGGGCCCCTGCATGGAGATCCCGTTGCTATTCTGGGCTTCGCGGTTCTCTAGGGGGTTAATGGAACTGACCTCTTTAAGGGACGGTTTTGAGGCCAGCCAGGGCTAAGCTTTCCCCTCCTCCTGACCTTCTGTGTGTTTGCTGCTTTCTCCTCCTTTGCTGTCACCGCTACCTCCTTCCCCAGCTTCTGCTTGGTGGGAGGCGCCGAGTCCCCGTTCTCCAGAATCTCCAGCTCCTTCTCCAACCTGGAAGACAGAGTTCGGCTGCTGAGCAGCGTGCAATGGGAAGGGGTAGCATGGGCTTTCCCTCCACAGCCCCCAGGGCCAGCCCAACCAGTCTCAAAGGAGCCAAGTACAAGAGAGACCCCCCCCCCCCCCCGGGAATGCCTGGTTATGTTATCCCCGCAAAAAACACCCCCCCCCCCCCCCAAAGGCCCCACCCCGCCAGCTTGTCCTGGGAGCAAAGGGAGGTGGAGGGAGAGAACCAAAAGAAAGGCAGAGGCCCGGCTCCTCAGCTGGTGCAAATCGTTGGGAGAGTTCAGAGTTCACAGTTAAAGCTCCCGACTCCCAGCCCCCTCTGCTCCACCCATTAGACCCCACTCCCGCCCCAGCACTGGGGATAGAAGCCAGGAGTTCTGGCTCCCAGCCCCCTCTGCTCTACCCACTGCACCCCACTGCCTTCTCAGAGCTCCCAACATGCACTGCGATCTTGACCTACGGCGGCCTTGCTCTTCCCCCGAGTGCCCACAATGCTCTGCCCCTGCACCCCCCCCACCGAGGCCTGATTCTGATCTCATACATGGGCTGAGCCAAAGCTCATTGAAGCCAAGGGGAGTCCTTTTGTTGGCTCTCAATGGGGCCCTTACTCCGTTGCAAACCCGCTGCAACTCATGGAAGCCGAAGGACGGACGCTGGTGTAAACGCAAGGAGAATCAGGCTCAGGATACGAAGCAGAGGGCACCGATCTTGCCCATCTGGTGATTGTATGACGCAGCCGGAGCTCAGCCAACCCCAAACCCGCCCCCACCCACGGACTCATGCCAGATTCAAACCAACCCACCCGGGTTTTGTTGTTGCTCATTTCCTTGGCTTCACGCAAGGGCCTGTTTTCACCATCGCACTAAGCACGCCTTGCTAACCCTGCAGAGGGCCAATCGGTACGACGCAAACCCCCGCGAAACAGGAAGGCGAGCGACTGCCTAAAGGCTGTGGGTGGGATCTAGAGCTGGAGAGCTCCTCTGATGGGCAGATTATTATTGATATCGCCCTAAAATTCAAATGGGGCTGTGAGTGTGGGAGAGAGAGAGGGGTGGAAAGGACCCCATCTCCTGCGTTTAACTGGTGGAACCCACCCATGGCTGGAGGAGCTAGACAGACAGATGGGAGTGTACGGAGACTGACAGACAGACAGGAGGGAGGGTACGGAGACCATCAGATAGATGTTTCATGGGCCAGAAACTCAACTGGTATAACTGGCATCGCTCCATTGCAGTCAATGGACCAATGCCGATTTACACCCCCTGAGGATATGGCTCTCCATGTTGCCATTTTGCAAAGCAAATTCCCCAAGGGAGAGACCCCCATCCAACTCCTTAAATCCTCTTAGGGGAGCATCACCCCCTGCCCCCTCCACTCCAGCCACGATGCCCAATTTCTCCTACAGCTACCTCCGTGACCTCTTCCCCATCACTCCCACGGCACGGAGCAGCCTCCTAGCTCTGGACTGCCAAGCCACCACCCTCCGTCCTCATTCAGATTCTTCCCCAAGATCTATTCCTGCCACGTTGCCCGCAGGAAGTGAATCCATAAGGGAGGGAGCACAAGGCCTAGGCGCCATTTAAGTTATATTTTGAGGGCTTCTGGCTCAGAGCCGTGACAGAGCCATATCCTCCGTGGATCAGGCACAGGGAGGGACAGTGACGCGCACCGCCCAGTGGGTTACAACAGCAATCGAAGTATCCGAGGGCCTGACTTTCAGAGGAGCCAAATCCCCCCTATTTCCCATTGACTTTGCTGGCCTCAGCACTCCTGAGCTGCAAGAGACAGCGGCGCGGCTGCTGATCGCACTTGTTTCCCTTCCGGATTTCACCGGGTCCAGGAGCTTTTCACTCCTTCCACCGAATATTTATAACAGCCAGGGGAGGACAACGGCCACCGACCAATCAGAGCTACCCGTGCAAAGCCTTGAACGAATGAGCCAACAACGCGCGACACTTTCCCAGGCAGGACGTTGGCTGTGGCTGGAAGAAGGCAAAAGGAGCCGCAGATTTCCTGTCCACGTGCCACACGCTCTCTGCCAATGCCCAGGGCTCGGAGAGTGGACGCTCTAGTGCATTGGGCTGGCAGCACACGACTTTTTTTCTTTTAAGTGGCTAGTGATTTTGGGTGTTTTCCATTTCTGGAGGCCCAACCGAAGCACCTTCAATGGCCGGGATTTTCAGAGCAGCTCAGGGGCGTGGCCCTTTCTGAAGATCGGGAATCTCTCATCTCATGCCCTGGGGTGGAGCATGTTGGAGCAGAGATGCAGACATTTGGGAGTGGATTGTGTACATTGATGAACCGGTGTCACTTAAGCTACCATCTGCCAAAGGGATCCCAGGCAGGCAGACCCTTCTGTCCGCTGACCCCCTGCGGGTGGATCTGTCCGCGCGGATGCCTTTGCAGCATCGGGGCCCTCGGTCACTGCATCCTGCGGGCCACTTATTTCAAGGCTTTGCACCTCACCATACTTACCGTTCACACAGCGCTGCCACCGGGACAACAGCATCTCCTGCTGCTTATAAAAAAAAAAGGACAAAAATACCATCCCGGTTTGGAAAAGGGCCACCCTGGTCTGGGCTGCTCAGCGACGTCTGGCTGCTGGAGCTCAGTGGGATCGAGAGCTTGCAGGAGGAGGAAAGTTATGGAGCTGGTGGGAGAAAGGGGAAGGGGCAGGATGGGCAGAGGGTGATGTGTCAGAACAAGGGCAATCCCCCGCTGCAATTTTTCTGTGTGAGGTGAGTGTTTGCTGGTGGTTACATCATACGATTGAGAGTTCTAGCCTCAGCTCGGGGAGCGGAGCGCGATCTAGTTGTCAGAGTAGAAGAACAGGAGTCAGGATACCTGGGTTCTTCTCTTACTCTGGGAGGGGGAGTGTGGTCAAGTGAGTTGAGCAGGCAAGTGGGAGTCAAAGATACACAGCATGGATTCCTGGTTGCTTACGTGACCTTGGACCAGTCACTTCACTGCGCTGAGCCTCAGTTTACCTACCAGTCAATAGCGATCTCTACCGCACAGGGGAGCTGTGAGCTAATCCATTAGCTGCAAAGCACTTGGCCATCCTCTGCCAATAGGTGTTTCGGGAAAGATAAAGTGCTAGCATTACTGAGAGTTTCATTTTTCAACGGAAAGCAAAGCAGTGGAATTACACTGGAGAGCGTTAACCGCTGCTCGCCCTCTGTCTCCCCCTAAGCACCTGCGGTCAGAGGAGTCCCCAGTGTTTGTCTCAATTTTGCCTTTTTAATCACCAAACAACTTATCGGCAAACCCCATTTTTTCCTCCCATCTCTACAGATGGTTGAATCGTAACCAGGAAAACAAGGCAGGCGTTGCCGGAGCTGGCCTGACGACAAACAACATTTACTGCGGGAAGATTTAAAAGGCTGAAATTTCTCAGCTACAGAATCTGATACATTCTGGTGACAGTGTCGGGGCTGCAAAGGGTAGAAGAAAATGTAGCTTCGGACAAAACCCATTCACTGGACGTTTAAAGAGCGTAAGATCATTGGGGCAGGGACTGTGTTTGTACAGCGCCTAGCACCCCGGGTCCATGATGGCAGCGCCTAGGCATTCCTGCAATAGAAATAAATACTTAGCTCTTATAGGGCGCTTTTCGGTAGATCTCCAAGCATTTGACCATCTTTAATGTATTCATCCTCACAGCACCCCCGTAAGGCAGGGCAGTGCTGTAATCCCCGCTGGACAGATGGGGCATGAGGCACCAAGAGGCAAAGTGTCTTGCCCTAAGCCACAGAGGAAGCGGAATCCAGGTCTCACAGGTTCTAGGCTAATGACCTGACCATGGATCGAGTTGAGGATTTTATAACTCCCTAGCTTAGCTCGCCTCTCTCTGTTACTCCACTTTGGCCAGGATAACTCAATAGATCACAGATAACCGTTCTTGTTATCTGTATAAAACAGCACATGGAGGCCACAGCCAGACCAGGACCCCATCGTGCCAGGCGCTGTACAAACAAGGTGGCAAACACGCACAGATCATAAGGCTAGAAGGGACCTCTATGGTCATCCTGTCTGAACCCCTCCACAGCACTGGCCAGAGAATGTCCCCGGGCTAATTCCTGTTTGAACTGGAAGTTAAACCAGGCACAATTAACTCGAGTGTTGCCCCAATTCGATCCCGTCCACACGCAAAGCCCCTTAACCCGAGGTCGGGGCTGCTTCTAGTTCAAGCTGGCTGGCCCGCCAGGGGATACAGGCGACAGCGGGAGTAAGCATAACTCATCCGCAGCTAACATGACCACTCTGTGTAGCTAGTGTTATTTTGCAGTGTGGATGCTCTCACTTGAGCGGGGCTATAGCTCGCGTTAACTCTGCAGTGATGGGCCCACACCTCCTAAGAGAAAATCCCTCTACTGAGAGCTTAAACAGGCAAAGGGTGGGAGAAAGGGAGTTTTATTAGCCCCATTTTACAGAGGGAGAAACCACCACGGCCAACCCCAAATGACCAGAACTCCTGAGTTAAGTCCTAGAAACTCAGGAGACTGGCTTAAAAATGAGGAGGTTTTTTAAAATGCCCCAGGATTCTTTTATTTGCCTTATTCGCTTTTGAACCTTGCAGGGGTCACGTTTTCGAGCCGCAGCCGCCAGGGCTAGAACGGTAGAGTGTGTCTACACTACAGCCATCGGCGGTGTGGCTGCAGTGCGGTCGGCCTGCCCGTGTGATAGCAGTGAAGATGGGGCAGCGTGGGCTGTACAAGCCCATCCAGAACTCTGGCGACATACTCGCGGCCCCTCCCCTCTCGCAGGGTCCCAGCGCTCAGACTTCAGCCCACACCCGAATATCTACACCACAATTTTACAGCCCTGCAGCTCGAGCCCCGTGAGCTTGAGTCAGCTGACGTGGGCCGGCCCCGGGTATTTCACTGCAGTGTAGACGCACCCAGCGTAAGCCCAGGGTTCAAACTCAGGCTCCCACGGGGTGGAGGGTCTGAGCGCCTCAGTCAAGCCGGTACCCAGGGTTCAAGGCC